CCCAGGAATTTTAGCTCTAACTTATTTGACAGTTTAGCTTTCAACTGAGCAGCTAAGCAGGACTTTAAGTTCAGTGATGTTGTGGAGCCTGAGCAGCACAGCTGCTCTTTCCTTGCCCAGTGTCTGACACCAGTTTAAACCTTTATCATGTCACTCAGACTAGAAAAGCCAAACTGCTAAAGCAGCACATACCTTTACCATGGTAATATTGAGAGGGGAGAAAGTATCACCCACTGAGACCTCAACATCTTCAGTGCTGCATTAATTGTGCTTAAAATCTGACCAAAATCTCAGTTCCTTAGCAGATTTTATTTGCAGCTGTTGCTGACCTTGTTACCAAGTGACATCACCTGATATTGCCTTTCTTAATTTGTGAGGTTGGAAAACTTCAAACTTTCAGAGCCAGCAGGAAATATCTTCAAGCACCTGAGCTCACAGGAAGGTGATTCCATCATTCTCAGAAGAGATTTTTCCCCCCATCTCACAGCATCACTACTTTTGGTCCAACACCAAACCATTAAGTGTCCCCAGTGCATCATCCTGTCCCTCAAATCACCAAGATACCTGACTGTGCTGCTGTGAAATTCACTGTCTACAGCTGATCATCACTCACATTCCCTCCCTAGCAACATTCCTGAGAGCAGAACGAGGAATTTGACAATCCATAAATCCCTTAACCACCCCCAGAACAGCAGCAAAACTCAGGATAGGTAACTGAATGAGGATCCACTTGTACTCAGCTCCGCACTGCAGGTTCCCACGTGGAAATTCCCTGCTGGAATTGTGCCTGGAGCTCCATGGAAATCCATGCGGGATGCGCGGGCTGTGGCGGCCCCCGGCGGCAGGAGGACAGCAGGGACAGCGAGCTGGGAAGCTTTGGAGGCTTTTGCTTTCCACAGAGTTTCATAGAATCACAGAATCAACCTGGTTGGAAAAGACCTCCAAGATCATCAATCCAACCCTACCGTGGTCAATAGACCATGGCACTAAGTGCCACATCCAGTCTCAGCTTGAAAACCTCCATGGATGGGGAATCCACCACCTCCCTGGGCAGCA